AGGCTTGTCTTTAACTAAAATCTTGGCTGCTCTAAAATCTCTAAATCCCTTAAAATTTATGTTTCAACATGATGAACTCTTGGTCGTATCATTATTCATCTGGTGGGCTTGATGGGAATACTGGTTTCTGCATATTGCTACTGCTACCTGCCAGCTGGAGCGCTAATTAGGAGCCCTATATCTATTAGGAAAAAGAAGAAAAACTGGATGTCTGGTGCAGAAGTAGAAAATTTCAGGCTCCCAGGGATTAAATAATTTTCTTTAAATAATTATTTAAAGGTTGGGTTGGTTTTTTTTGGTGTTTTTTTTTTTTTTTTTTACTCCCAGGGAGCCTGAAAGTTTTTACTGCTGTTCTTTTTTAAAGCTAGAAAGGAAAGCAGAGTTAGAAATAAAGGTAGAAATAGAGAGAAACAAAGGGTTAAAGAAAGTTGAAGTTGGAGAGAAAAAGAGAGACAGAAAAAAAAGAACTATGAAAACAGTGGCAAACAGTGAAAACAAAAAGAGTGAAAAATTAGCAGGGTTAGAGTGAAAAAGAAAGTGAGAGGAAAAAAGAGGAAAAAAGAGTTAAAGCTAGAGAGAAAAAGAAAGAGTAAAGTATAAACTATAGAGAGAAAAAGAAATAGTTGGAAACAGAGAAAGAAAGAAAAAAAAGAAATAGCGGGAAATAGAGAAGCAGAGAGACAGAGTTAGAAACAGTGAGAAATAGAAACACAGAGTTAGGGACAGACAGAAATGAAGTCAGAAATAGAAAAGTAAGATGAGAAGCAAAGGAAGAAATACAGTGAAAAAAAATTACTAAACCACACCAAAGAAAGACAGGAGCCAAAGCTGGAAGGTGAGGGAGCAGGGGCATCATTACTAGGGTTGATTCAACTTCACTGAATGAATTTTTTTATTTACACTTCAGCAAAACACATGGAAACAACAGATACAAATGCAAGTACAGATACAATCCATAGACATGCATAGATACAAAGCAATACATGGAAATGCAGCAGCAAATGCAAATACAGAACAACACAGGGCAATAGAAACCAAACACATATCAACACAATATGATCCTTTTTTCTAGTTTAATTACATTTTGTTTTATTGTTAGAGGAAACACAAAAGAAAGATTACACACACAAAACAACACTCATCTAGCATGAGCACCTCCTTCATGTTACACACAAACTCACCATCGCTCTCATCTCAACTGCTCCGTTACACCCCAGAAATCATTGTTCCTCAGGAACGTGGCTCCCGGGAGCTTCCAAAAAATCCTCCTTGAAAAAAACCCTGGCCTGGGGATGGTCTGTGGCCAAACCTTAGTGACGAACATCACCTTATGGACTGGCCAGGCTATGCAGCAGGGCAGAGCATGGCCGGGACAAATATGTGCAGACACCCGTGACACAGGACGGGACGTGACAAACGAGGGGACGTGACAGGGAGGGAGAGCTCTCGAGGAGAAGAAAGGACCGAGAGACCCAAACAACACAGAGTGCACCAGAGACAAGTGACAGGACACACACCGGAACTGCTCTGCCCTGTGAACCTCAGCACTGAGACCAAAACAGACATTTTCCCTTTAGGAGGACTAGGGAAATGCTTCTTGGACATCCCCATCCCCAAAACAGACAAAAAAAACCCTTCTAGAAAGGCCCAAGCCAGCACCGTGCTTCCATCCACTCTGTAGGTCGTAACACTCCACTTATCTTGCACATATCTGGGGATGTAAATCCCTGTTGGCTGCAGAAGAAGGCCGTCTTCCTGCCTGCTAAGTTCCAGCTGTCACCTCTTGGTCTGCCTACAGAAAGAAAACCAAACATCAGTGCACAATCTTAACAGCACATCGGCCAAAACCTGGTAATTCTGCTACTCACCATCCTCCTCAGAGTGCCCAGGCCACACACTTCAGGCGTGCTTGGAGGCCGACAGCATCACCTATGGGTACAGCACGGTTAAGGGGAGAGGGGGTGACGTGGCATTGCTGAACCTTGAGTGTACCCACGCTCCTCCTCCCTACATCCCAGACTCACCGCAATTCCTTGTCCACTCCTCTGGGCTACCAGGTTGGGACCCTGAAATACAAAATTTTTAGGCTTCATCACAGAGTCCCGCTATACTTCCAGAGGTCTCATAAAGCACAGGAAACCCAGTCCATTGGCCAGCTGGTGACAGGTGCTATGCGTACTCCGAAGGGATTCCCTAAAGTACACAAACAAGAATGGATGCTTACAGTTGCACCAAAAACCGAAACCTGAGCAAAAACAACAGCTTCTCTCCACTGCTCACCTAGCACAATGGGCCTTGACTGCTGCTATCTGCCTGGACCTCCTAAAAATAAAGGCAAAGAACACTGCTGTAACACAGTCACGATTTAGGCTTCTCCTGCAAATGCAAACAATGACTGACCTGCTTATGCCAACACCTTTACCCAGGACTGGCGCTCTCTACCACAGATTTGAACTGTCTGCATCTGAAACGAAGTTAGAACTAGTGTCAAACAGCTGCAGGACAACTTAACAGCACCAAAAATGTTATGTCAATCTCCCAATAGAATCTAGATCCCAACTACACCCTGCATTACAAATTTCAAGTCCCGGGGCTTTTGCTATTACAGGCTATGCAGCAGGGCAGAGCAGCTCCTGGACAAATGAGTGCAGACACCGGTGACACAGGACAGGACGTGACAAACGAGGGGACAGGACAGGGAGAGAGAGCTTTCAATGAGAAGAATGTGTGCAAGGACTGAGAGACCCAAACAACACAGAGTGCACCAGAGACAAGTGACAGGACACGCACTGGAACTGGTCTGCCCTGCACGCTTCAGCACCGAGATCAAAATAGACATTTTCCCTTTAGGTGGCCTAAGGGGACCCTTCTTGCACATGCCCGCCCCCAGAGCTGATTCAATAGGCCCTCCCAGCACGTTGCCTTTGTCCCCTCTGTGGGCCTTAGCCCTCGACTTATCTCTCAGGCATCCGGGGATGAGAATCCACATCCTGTGCAAATGGAGGCTGCCTCGACAGCTGGGAATGTCTTATGGTCAGCAGGCTGTGGTCCCTTGCTCAGCTACAATCAAGAACAGCAAACATCACTGCATGATCTTAGCTGCTCAGCAGCCACAAACCAGCAATTCTGCTACTCGCCATTCTCCTAAGAACGCCGGGCTCCTCGGGCCGCACGCTTTGCCCTCGCCCTCCTGGCAGGGTCTGCCTGGCTGAAGAGGAGACGAGGTGATGTGGCATTCCCAAAACTCGAGTGGACCCTGGCTCCCCCTCACTAATGGTTGCCTGACTTACAGCAACTCCTCGGCCGCTCCTGAAGGCTCCCTGTGTGACACCTTCCAGTGACAAAGATCAAGGCTTCCTCGCAGAGCCGTGTGCCGCTTCCTGAATTCCCACGAGGTTGAAGGAGCGGGTCTGCGGGCTGGTTGCAGAGGGGGTCTCGGTGTTACACGACTGGACCGCCTAATGCACACAAACATGAATGGATACTTGGAGTTGCAGCAGAGACACTACAGCTGTAGGCACACAAATTCATAAATAAATAAACAAAACCTAAAAACTCTACCAAAATATTAACTTTATTTACCCAATATTCAAATTGCCAAATAGATTAACAGAGACACCCTGTTCTATCCCCTCAATAAGGCCTCTTAATTATGCCAAACAAATCCTTAAAACTAAGAAAACCCTGCCTGTATCAAAATAAAAACAAAAAAAAATTCTTGTAAACTTTATAAATTCATTAACCTAACACATCAGAACCACAGAAATATTAAACCTTTATGAACACCAGAACGCAGTACACACTACCCTCATTTCAACATATAAAAGTAAAGCTATTCCTATTACTAACCTAACACAAATATCACAAAATATAGCAGTAAGAAAAAAAACTAAACCTCACGAAAAAAAAAAAATAAAACTTTTAAGCCAAAAAAAAATCATACATTCTAAACAGGATCTTCCTCAAAATCAAGTATTTCAATAAACCCCAAAAACTCAAACATATTTAAAATAACTACTAAAAAGCCAAAAAACATAAAACAATTAAGCAACCCACCACAACTATCTAAAACTATCAACAATAAACCTTCTTTAAAAAAACCCAACAAATACTCCTTACCACCTCAACAACACATCACCAGCGACACCAAACAACTCAAAATACTGTAACTCCCATCCAAAAAATGCTCTATAAACTGAAACATTAAAATTCATCTACAAAACCCACTCACCCTTCAACAACCTCCTCTAACCTACACACAAATCTAAAACAAATAAGAATTAACTATAAACTATCATACCTTAAATAACTCCACCATTAAACACTACTGTACCAAACTTATTAAATCTCCAATACAAACTAAAATGAAAAACCACAAAATAACACACCACTGTTAACATTACCAATACATTTTTCTCCATTCCTCTAACAACCGAATACAAACCTCGATTTACCTTCACTTGAAAAACATATACCTACAACCAACTACCCCAAAAATAAAAACACAGTCCTACCATCTAGCATAAATTCATCCAAATGAAACTTAAAAAGAAAACTCCAAAACATCTGTAATAATCCAACAATATTAGATGAAAAGTATAACAAAAATATTTTTTAAAATCATCCAAATTCTTCTAAAATACTATTACACCACAAAACAAAAAAAAAAAGCAAAATGAAAAAGCCTACTGAAAAGATCCAATTCCTAAAAATAAAATAACAAAAGAAACATCAAATTCCCACCAATTTCATCAAAAAAAGTCAGAATGGCTCCACGAGCCAACAAAAAAACCCGCCAACCTATAAGAAAATGCCAAACCACCTCGAAAACAAACAATAAAACACAGCCCCTCTTACCGCAGTATTATTTTAATACTATGATTAAAATACACATTCTATACAGAAATGTCTCCTACCCCGCCATCAATTCCACATAAAGCAAATAAATTAACTCTTATCATACAGGACATCCATATCAAAAATCTCAATCGCCCTAAATCCTTAAAAATAATAACAAATTAACCCCAGAATAAAAACTTTAATCTCTAACAAAAGAAACCCAAAACCAAACAACACAAACTAAAAATACACCACCGTAGAACCAACTACCAGCAAAAAAATAAACCCACGCTACACTCTTCACAAACAGTTCTTCGTGAGACACATCACAAAAATGAAACAAAAATAAAAAACAACCCATAGAAACCAAAACATACATAGAAAACGAATTACAAAACCCACTAGAAAAAGAAGTCCAACCAGCTTACTGAACTTCAAACCGTACAACGGACCCTGAAAGCTACTAAAAATGAAAACCACACCTCTACACTAACTCGAAGAGTAACCAGTAGTCTAATTTAACTTTAAAAACTAAAGTAATAAACGATATTAAAATACTCTAAATCACTAGACAAGAAAAAGATAAGTACCCAAATAAAAAACTACCTAAAAAAACCCACCATATAAATACACACGTTCCTAAAAAAAACCCCACTAATAAAAAGCAACCAACAAATACATCAAACTAAAACAAAAACCCAAATAAATAAACTTAAATTAACAACACCAGAAATTATTCCTAACTCAATAAAGCCATAATGCCTCAAACCATCAAAATACAAATACCACCTAGAAATAAACACATCACCAAAAAATAAATGTAACCATAAACAATAACTCCCAAATTACCGGTAACAATAAAACATTCACGACAATTAAACAAACCAAATGAATAAAACCTCTATAAGAGAATTAACAAGAATGCAATTATCAATATTAAAAAAAAAAAACCCAAAAAACTTACTAATTGACTACAGGACACTACCCCAAACCCACCAAAAAAACCACTACATACGCACGCTAATAAAAGCCACCACAGCCTAATTAAAAAACAACCCTGTACTTCATGCTACGACCCATAAAAACCACAGTAAACCTTAAAAAAAAAATCCTTTAAGAAGATAACTACAACTGTATTTTTATAATAGAAAAACAAATAAAAAACCCAACATATCCCACCAAAAAAAAAAAAATCCAACAACAAACTCAATCCAAAAAAACCCTTGTCATCAGCACATGAACCAAGAACCGTAACAACAACAAGTACACCATGACCTTTCTCATACACCAACTACGAACAAAAGAAAACGATCCACTAAGTTCCTCAAAACCACCACAGCAAGGAACTCTGGAAAATGAAAACCAGCGCTCCCGGCAGCGGGCGGAGCGCGGCTCCCGGCAGGAAAGCGGCTCCTCCGGCAGGGAGAGGCGGCGCCGCGCCGGGAGACCCCCGCCCGCTCCCCCCGGCCCGGCGGGGCCGGCACCGGGCCCGGGGGGCCCCGGCGGCGCCCGAGCCCCGCGCCCGGAGCGGACGGAGCGGCTGGCACCGGCCGGCACCGGCGCAGCGCCCGCGCCGCCTGCCCCGCCCGCCGGCCCGGCCAAAGCTCCCCTCGGCTCCGCACGGCTCGCACCGGCGCGGCTCCGGCAGTCCCGCGGCAGCCCCGCCGCGCCAAACTCCCCTCCCGCCTCGGCCATCCCCAGCCACTGCCAGCGGGGCTCCCGCGCCGGACCCTTCGCTGCCGGGCCAGGGGCAGAAGAAGCGCCCCAAATGCAGCGGCACAGCCCCATGCCCACCCTGCCAGCGCTGCCACAGCTGCGTCTCCCTTCCTTTGAAGCCCCGAAACTGACGCCTCGCTCAGGAGCTCACCTCGCTTCAACAAGGGCAAAGAAATGTGGGCTCCCCTTCAAATGCATCTCCTAGAAGAACAGAAAAGAAAGGGCCTTCCTTAAATGATGGCAAAGGGGGATTTTTACCTCAATCCAAACCCTTTAAAAGAAGGGACAAGAAGGCAGCCCCCTCCATTTGAACCTCAGGATGATGAAAAGGTGGGGGCTACCCTGAAGTCAAAACCATCATACGACAACAATATTTTTCCCATTCCATTTAAAAGAGAACACAGGGATTCCCTGTCTCCCCTTGCAACATCCCTAACACCCTGGAAAAAAAAAAGATTTCTTCAGTCAATACCCTTAAAACAAGGGAAGAGAGACTCCTGCCAGTTCAATCACGGACAATAATGGAAGAGGAGTTGCTTTCTTCATTATGAATTTCTTTTGTCCGCAATGCCCTCAATATATTTTTTTTTTTTTTTTTTTTTCCTCCTGGGAGCACGGGGGAGTGACTGGCAAGACCAAATTCAAAAGGGAAAGAAGTCCCCACTACAAAGGTGCACCGGCTCACCTATTTGGCTGCTGCTTCTCGGCACAAAGGTTTGTCCCTCGACACCTCCTTTCAGCAATGCTCCACGTATCCAAGTGATTCCCCAGACCCTGTCTGAAGCGGTCACCGTCCTTCCATGACACAGCCCCAGGAGCCCCCCATAAACTCCTCTCCTCCAGCAACTCCGTCCAAAAGCAATGTGAGCAAAACCCCCTAAATCAGCCGCCTGAAGAGCCGCCCCCCTCCACATCATCCTCACAGCTCACACCTGGGGCTGCTCTGAGCCCTCCTCATCTTCACAGTTCACACCTGCCGCTGTTGCCGGCCTCCCTCTCCAGCAAACAGACACAGATCAAACGGAAATCTGCTATAGATTCCCACAGTTACACGATCAAAACACATATATCCCACACATCCTCTTCTAGTTTCAGTCCCAAGCCCAGACCCAGCATCCGTGTCAGAGGCATAAAGGGATGTCGCCGCAAGGACCCCAGAGTCCCTGTGCCAGCCCTTCGGTTCCTATGGTGTGTGCAGTCCCTTTGCCAGCCCAGCAGTGATCTCAGCTCTTGACCCACAAGCTTTATTTCACTGCCAGCTCTCTTCTTCAGCTCCATCATCAGAGGGCAGGATCTTGGCCTTGGCTCCAGCTCTGCAGCACTTCAGCTCATGCCCCAGGGTCTCTAAGCCCACCCCACCATCCATATCCCAGCCCCACAGTGATCTCAACTCCCACCCAGCACTGCCCGGCCACTATGTGTGCCCCTGTATCATTTCAGTTCAAAGCCCACAACCCTGTTCTCAGCAACAGAGTTCCTTATCCATTTCCAGTCACAATCCCAGCCCCACAGTCCATTTGCCAGGCCCACAGTGACTTTGCCCTGAGCCCCAGAGATGCTGTCGCAGACCGAGAGAATATCACAGCATTGCCAGGTTTTTCAGGCGCAATGTCAGAGCCCCATCTCCACATTACACATCCTGTTCTAATTTTAGTAACAATCCCAAACCCAAAGTGTGTGGCAGTCCATGTGCCAGCCCCACAGTCATTTTGCCCCCAGCCGCCCAGATGCCGTCACAGACCGAAGGCATTTAAGAGAATTGCCGGGTTTTTCAGGCGCAATGTCAGAGCCCCCATCCCTGCACTACACATCCTGTTCTCGTTCAAGTCACAATAGCCAACCCCAGCATCCATGTCAGAGGCCTAAAGGGATGTCGCCGCAAGCACCCCAGAGTCCCTGTGCCAGCCCTTTGGTTCCTATGGTGTGTGCAGTCCCTTTGCCAGCCCAGCAGTGATTAGAGCACCTGCCCTACAAATGCCCTTTCCCAGCCCCAGTGATCTCAGCTCTTGACCCACAAGCTTTATTTTACTGCCAGCTCTCTTCTTCAGCTCCAGCTCTGCATTTCTCCAGCTTCACAGGGGTGATCTTGGCCTTGGCTCCAGGTCTGCAGCCCTTCAGCTCAAGCCCCGGGGTCTGTAAACCCAGCCCACCATCAATATCCCACCCCGCAGGGATTTCAACTCCCACCCAGCAATGGCCAGCCACTATGTGTGCCCCTGTATCATTCGAATTCAAAGCCCACAACCCTGTTCTCAGCAATAGAGTTCCATATCCGTTTTCAGTCACAAACCCAGCCCCACAGTCCCTGTGCCAGCCCCAGAGTGACTTTGCCCCCAGGCCCACTGGTGCCGTCGCAGACCAAGAGCATATCAGTGCATTGCTGGGTTTTTCAGGCGCAATGTTAGAGACCCACCTCCTCACTACACATCCTGTTCTAATTTCAGTCACAAGCCCAGCCCCATCATCCATGTCAGAGGCGTAAAGGGATGTCGCCGCAAGAACCCCAGAGTCCCTGTGCCAGCCCTTTGGTTCCTATGGTGTGTGCAGTCCCTTTGCCAGCCCAGCAGTGATTACAGCACCCGCCCTACAAATGCCCTTTCCCAGCCCCAGTGATCTCAGCTCTTGACCCACAAGCTTTATTTTACTGCCAGCTCTTCTATTTCACTTCCCCCTCAACACCCTCCCAGCAGTGCTACATAACACTGATTCTGGCTCTCAGGGCCGGATCTTTGTTTTAGCTCTAGCTCTGTGTGATTTTAGTTCAGCTCTTGAGCCCATATTCCTGCCTCAACCTAACAATCCCTTCCTGCCCTCGCAAACAGCTCTGCAGTCTCTATCGGAGCCCTTTAATGAATTTCAGCTCCAGCCATGCAATTCCCATCCCAGCTCCATATTCCCTATCCCAGCTCCACAGGGGTTTTACCCCAAACCGTACCACATTTCTGTCTCCTCCGGCTCTGCTGCCTCAGCTCCAGCTCCTCAGCTTCCTGTAGCTAAAGGTTGCTCCTGCTTCTCACTGCAGCCTGTAGCTGTTGATAAGGGCACAAATCAGTTACTGTCATAATTTCAACGTCCCTTGCAGCTATCCCACCCACTCTAATGGGATCCCAGCTTTGGGGACCCTTGAGGCCTGAAGCCAAACAGCTACTCCCGCCCCCTGGGTCTCAGCCCAGAACCTCCCCAAAAGCCCCCTCACCTCCCCCAGACAGCCCCAGGGCCACCGGGCCCCTGCTCCCACCTCCCAAAAGGTGCCTGTGCGCTGATGGGCAGGCCCTGGAACCCTCTGAGCCCTCACACCCTCAGCCTCTGCTTAGTACCATGGGGCAGGGGCTGGGAACCCCCAGGCACCTTCTGCGGGCCCCACACTGCAGCTCCACGCCCCTCTCCCCAAGGCATTTATCCAACTCCAGCCCCAGCATTTCCACTGCCCCACATTGTTTTGGGCCCGACTCGTGCCGAAGTCCTTATTCCACACCCTGGGCCTTTATATCTCCGGTGACCTCACAACCCGTGATTCAGCCCCAGCCCCACAACCCTTACTAAATTCACATCAGATAAAGAAAACACAAGCAAACAAATTAAATTTAATAAAACGAACAAAACAGTAAAATAATGCAATACAGAAAAAATTATTAAGTAAACGCAAAATCAAATAATAAGAAAGCAAACAACCAGCTTTATTCCCAGTATTCTCAGCGTTACTTTAAATCCAGAAACCGCGAAACGGCTACTCCCCAGTGACAGCAGCCGGACCCCCTTCGCCACTCCCTGCCCCGCACCAGCCTCTGGCCGCCCGAGCCGGGCAGGGCGCGGCGCAAACAACTGGACACCGCCGGCCCCCGGCGCAGGCAAACGCGGGAGTCGCGTCCGTGCTCACCAGCGCTCCTCGGATCGGCAGCCGCGGGGGGCCCGTCCCGGCGCAGCGGCGCTCCCCGGAACGCGCATTCGCAGCTCCCGTCGCCTCCAGTCCCGCCGCCGAACTGACGCCGCCGCCACCCCGACGCACGCTACTTACACCTCAGCGCCGGCCCCGCCAGCCAATCACAACCCGAGGCAGCGCCGGTCCCACCAATCCGAGCCCGCCCATTCCCCGCGCGCTCGCCTCGCGACCACCCCGCGCTCCCCTCACGCGCGGCTCCCGCCGCCGCCATTGCAGGGGCCGGGTCCGCCCGCTCCCCGCCGGCACCCGTTTCCGTGGGAGAAATCCCGGCCGGCGCCTGAACGGGAAGCTCCCGCCCGCCCTTCCCGGCTCCAGCGCCTGCCGAGGCTGCGGCAGCAGGGATACGGCTCCGCCGGGTCCCAAAGCGGCGGCGGGAGCGGCGCCTCAGGCGCAGGGGGGAGCGGGGCCAGGCTGAGGAGCCGGGCCGCGACTGAGCGGGCTGAAATGGCAGGAACCGCGCCCGGATTGAAAGGGTGGCTGTGATTGGACAGGGCGGGGAAAGGCGGGCCGGGATTGGCGGGGCTCGGGAGCTGCGCGGCCGCGGCCCGTGGCAGCGTGGGGCGGAGCCCGCGCTGCTCGAAGGGCCCGCGGGCGCCCCGGGTCCCGCTCGGAGACCCCCTGGCCCCTTCTCCGGCCCTTGCTCGTGCCCGGCTCCCGGCGAAAAGGGCCCCGCAGAGCCCGTACTGCAGCCGTCCGTCGGCACTTGCGGCAGGGGAGGGGCGCAGCCCGGCAATGGTTCCGGGCGGCAAAGGCGGACTCTGCGATAGCAGCTCGGTCGGGGAGCGGCGGCGACGCGGCGGGGAGGCGGCTCGGTGGTGGGGAATGGGGAGGGCGCGCAGAGCCCGCTGCGGGCTCTCGACGCCTCTTCCCCCGCAGTGTTTCCGCTTCTGCGGGGACTTGGCCTGCCCCGACTGGCCGAGATCAGCACCCTGGCCAAAACAGTGAAGTGCCCGCGTCCCCCTGCCCGCCCTCCGCCTGTTGCGGGCCCGCTGCTCACCCTCCTTCTCCCCCACAGTCATCGGATGTTATAGAGGAGAAAATAATATTGACTTTCACGTTCAGAGATCAGCTTTTTGCATCACAAGTATTTCGATATGGTACAACTTACTTTTAACTGCTTTGTACAGTATAATTTTTATAATAAAACCCCTACCTACTAACAAATAGAAAATAAGAATCCCCTTTATTTTAAACTATATTTAAAAACTTCTATATTTCTATTTTTGATTTTTACAAGTTTTTGTCTATTATATTACAATATATTGATGTACTCTATTTAGATACATAATATTTATGACATATAATATGCTATAAGAAGACATATACAGTAAATATGCATTATGAACTATATTGATTCCTATTATTTTGTAATACTTATATTTATATATCCACATGTATTAATTATACATCTCTAGACGGATAATTTGTTTATATTTATAATCTATATTTATATGTATTTATATAAAGATATAAAATACTCTATAGCAAACAATATTATATCTAATGGTAATGGATAACATTATTTATGTTACATGTTTTATTTATATGTTTTCTGTTTATATTTAAAATTTAAGTTCTTGTTCCCATTTTCATATTTATGCATTTCTTTTGTTTCATTAGAGTTACAGTTAAAACTTTGCAGTAAAAATCCAATTCCTAAAAATAAAATGCCAAAACAAACAGCATCGAATTCCCAACAATACCGTCCAAAAAATTCAGAAAGGCTCCACCAGCCAACCAACTACCAGCAAAAAAACCCGCACTACACTCCTTTCACTAGCAGTTCTTATCACATCACAAAAATGAAACAAACATTTAAAAAAAGACCTATAGAAACACACAGAGCAGATCACAAAAACCACTAAAACCAAAAAAAACCAAACCCGCCAACTAACTCACTATACTCCAAACCATACAACAGACCCCGAACGTTTCTTAAAAAAAAAAAAAAACAAAAAAAAACCAAAACAACCAAAACTCTACCGCGACACTAACTCATAAAGAGAACCCAATACTCTATAAAATGAACTAAAAAAACCCCACCAAATAATTACCGATGTAACAAAATCGGAACCACGAAGAAACAAAAGATTCACCACCCAAATAAAATAACTACCTAAAAAGATCCACCATAGAAATACCCATGTTCCCAAAAATAAAACTAATAAAAAACAACAACCAAATAAATCAAACTACCAAAAAACCCAAACATATCAACAACAACAAAATAATTATTCCTTACTCAATAAACCCATAGTGCCTCAAACCATCAAAACACAAATACCACTTAGAAATAAGCACGTCGCCAAAAGAGAAATGTAACCATAAACAATAACTCCCAAATTCTCTGCAACAATAAAACACACACGGCAATCAAATAAGCCAAATGAAAAAAAACCCTTATGATATAATAAACAAGAATTCCACAATCAATATTAAAAAAAAACCTGACTAATTAACTATAGGACACTACCTCAAGCCACCAAAACAAACACTACGCACTCACGCCAATAAAAGCCTCCACAACCGAATGAAAAACCTACCCTCTACTTCATGCTACGACCCATAAAAAACATTGTAAGCCTTTAAAAACACATCCTTTAAAAACATAGGAAACGATCAAAAATAAATCCAACAACAACACTCAAGCCAAAAAAACCCCTTGTCATCAGCGCCTGAAGCGAGAACCGTACCAACCAAAAAGTGCCCCACGGCCCTTCTCCTACACCAACTCCGGACAACAGAAAACGATCCGATAAGTTCCCCAGAACCACCTCGCAGCCACCCCAGGCAGGAACGCTGGAAAATGAGAAGCCGCGGTCCCGGCAGGAAAGCGGCTCCTCGGGCAGGCAGAGGCGGCGCCGCGCCGGGAGACCCCCGCCCGCTCCCCCCGGCCCGGCGGGGCCGGCACCGGGCCCGGGGGCCCCCGGCGGCGCCCGAGCCCCGCGCCCGGAGCGGACGGAGCGGCCGGCACCGGCGCAGCGCCCGCGCCGCCTGCCCCGCCCGCCGGCCCGGCCAAAGCTCCCCTCGGCTCCAAGTGTTGTCCGAAACGCTCACCGTCCTTCCATGGACAGCCCCGGGAGCCCCCCATAAACCCCTCTGCTCCAGCAGCTCCATGCAAAAGGGAACTGAGGCAAACCCTCACCCTAAAACAGGCCCTGGCAGGAGCTGCCCCCTCCTCATCCTGACACCGGGTGCTGCTCTGGGTTTCTTTGCAAATGAGTTTAGAGACAAATTCCTATTCTTTACTAATACCTATAAAAATGAAACACTTGCCAGGTTTTAGTATTCTACACACCCCTCCCTGTGAATTTTGGGGCAGCTTTGGGTCCCTCTGCGGGATGGCACCCAGCGTGACCCCCCTCATTCGCCACCCACCCGCTCCCCCACCGCAGTGTGCCTCCCTCTCCTAGGGATCTTGGGGTGCCCCAAATGACATCAGAGCCCTGAGTCTTCATCTCATTTTCCTGACCCCCAAAGAAGGCACAAGAATGAGTCTGCCTGGACAACAATGCAGCACCTCCTTTAATTATTTTCCACACGTCCATGCCTCCCGAAAGGGACTCTGCTGCAACAAGAAAGGGGGGCAGCCCCCAGAAGGGCTGAAGTTCCTCCTGAGCCTTGCTCTCACAGGCCAGGGGCAGAAACAGGGAGTGACAGCAGAGAGGACACAGGAAGAAAAGGTGCAGGACAAAAGTGACCAAAAAAACCACCAAACCCAAAAACCACCACCACCACCACAAAAAAAAACAAAAACAAAAAAACCCTGGGATGGGTAGCATGACAGAGAGGGATTAAAAAAGAACAGGGACAGCAAACGGGACACAAGGATTGCGTGAAGAACAATGGCACGGGGAGCACCACAGAGCCACAGAGAATAGAAAGGAACACGAGGCATGGAGGAGGAAAGAGAAAAAGAGTGCCAAACACACAGCAAGGACAGAGGGATACAGAGACAAAGAGGGAAACAAGGACTGAGAGAGGAAATGACCATGGCACATGCAGGTGTGGGGAAGGCAGGCAAGGCCGAGCACAGGGATGGAAAAAGAGAGGCACGGCCAGCAGGACAGAGGCTTATCAAGATGAGGATACAATGAGGGAGAAGGGCTGGGCAGCAGGTGCAGACAGGTACAGGCAAAAGGACAGTAAGGGGGACAAAGAAATACAGGCACGGTGCAAGACAAAGAAGGAAAAATAAAGATGCAGGCATGGAAGTGAAACAGAGAGAGACAAAAAGTATGACAGAGCAGGGAAAGGGGTTGAGTAATATTTATGATATAAATATTGAATATTTATTTAATAAAAGAAAAACAAGAGTGAGTGAAGCAGTGAAAGGGAACGGGATAGAGAGCACACAGGACAAGAAAGGAACACAAAAGACACACTGGACACAGAGAAGAAAAGGGGTGGAAAGTTGGATATAAGGCCGGCAGGAAAACAGGAACAAACCCCAGGACTAAGTATTGGAGAGAGTGGCTAATGAAGGTGTCAAAAAACCACCAGCTTGAACAGAACAGATTACTGTCATTGCTTGGCCTGGGACTCTTTAATTAACATCTGTCTCTTGGCAGGGCCATAAACTCCCCAGTAAAACATGAGGGGAAAGCTGAATGGTTGATGTGCTCCAGCTTTGGTGCTGCTCAGTGAACACCCTGATCTCTGAGCCTTTTCTCAGGGAAATTTCACCTTTATCTGTTCTCTTCCCCTCCCAGTATCTCTGTGTGATCAGAATGAACGTGATGAGAGGCTTCTCTGTTGCAGGGTCTTTGGAAATCCTGCAGTGACTTGGAGCCTGAGCAAGAGTAGTATGAGAAAACCCGGAACCTTTACCTCCAACTAACATCAAAGACCTTGTTCTGGAGAAGAAAGAACAGCCTGTTTTTACACATCCAAATTCCTTCAAATTTTACTATCATCTGTTTCCTGGCATTGTGAAAAGTGTTTAGCACAGCACAATGAATAAAATGGTCTCATTTTCAGAAGACACAACTGAACAAGAACAGACAGCAAAACCACTTTGAGACAATTTGGGCACATGGTTCCCTTTTTGCAATCTGAGCTTTCTTTCATACCATGCCTGAAATTCTGAGTTCCTTAGGGTTGCCCCAGTCCTTCCCTCTCAGTGCTGCTCTAAAATGATGAAAATTATACTATTTTTGTCAAAAAGAATTGTGTTCCTCATAGAAGGCAAATGCTTTTATTCCAGGTGTGTCAGGGTGGGGGGAACCCATAAAGGATTTGGTCTTCCATTACTGAGTGCAATTTAGACTAATAATTAAAAATATAACACCATGTGAAAAGACAGTACTAATATTCTGTGGGAAAAACCAGAATCATCTTGCAGTCATAAAAATTAGAACAACCTATGTTACATATTACTGTTGCTCGTCATTTTTTCTGGGTGTGGCACAACTGGCTTCATACTTTTTCTTCAGGGCTTTCAAATATACACGCAAACTGTCAGGGTCCAGTCGAGAATTTCTGGCAGTCTGAACCAATCTCATTGCTAACTGGTATGTAGCTCTCTGTTTCATCATCTCAGGAGTGCTCTTCTGCCTGTGCTGTTCTTAAAAATATACATACATTAAAATATGAAATGAATTATGTTCTATTATAAAAATACTAGTATTAGCTATTTTCCAGCCTGTTTTTGATCTCACAATTCTTGGCTTGCATACAAACATTACACCCAATCCTCATTTACCCTAAGGGCCATTTTGTGTTGTCAGCTAACAGTGACCTTCAGTATGATCTTTAAGAACTGGTTCCAGAAATATAAAGTTTAATGAAACCTGTTTTCATTAAAACTTAGGCAGCACTTATCCTTTAACCCTTCAGAAACTGAAAATATATTTGAGTTGTATAAAAACTGTGAAATACAGCATTATAATTTTCTACTACATACCAAAATTTGTTTTGCAATGTGACTTGTGATTTCCTTTGCATCCAAAATTATGGATGATGGTAGGGAGGACACTTCTGCAGCTTTTAGTCCTAAACATATAAAACACAAATCAGGATTTTTAAATGTAATTTTTACCCCTACCTTCCATTTTATGTCTTCCAGAATTAACTTACCCTATTTTTTTTAAGGGGTAAAGATTTAATTTTAATGAAAATAATTCTGGTGTATTTTCTCTTTGTGTGGTTTTGTTTGTTTGTTGGCTTGTTTGCTTGTTTGGGGGGGGTTTGGTTTAGGGGTTTATTGTTTGTTGTGTTTTGGATTTTGTTGGTTAATAAATAATAAGGTTTGGAGAGATACAAAATAACACATCTACTTTTTAAAATGTTATCTCTGAAACACACCTCAACATCAAGCTACTGCTGATAATACCATAAATGGGTAGATTGAGACGTATTAGGGGGTTAAAAGGAAAAAGAAACAGCACCATGGTGTTAACAGCTTTCTCGTTTCAGGTTTTTTAATTTGGCAGAAAATACAGAGATTTTGCTAACTACACTCTCAATTATACCCAGACATCCAGTGGACAGGGATGCCATTTTTCAACTTCTTTGTTGCCAACAGGCAAACTTCCAGATACTGGTGGTAAGAAAGAGATGTAAACATTTTTTCCTGCCCTAACATGATTTTTTAACTTTTTCCTTTGTCCATAACCATGGAAAGTCTGTGGTTCATTGGGTGGTTTAATACTACTGGTTTACAAATGAAAAAGTGTCATGAAGAGCCCTTGCACTCTCTCTTAGAATCTGACTTTGTTCAAGTAAGGTAAAGACAAGACACGAACACTGAGTTTCTAAAGGTCTCCTGTTCTCAGAAATTACTCTCTAAACATACAATTTTTTGGAGTTAGTGGTGGTGTAGCATCTAAAATTAAGCTTGTGATGCCAAAGTTAAACAAGTCTGAAATTCTGATCAAGGTAAGTTTTAAGTCCTGTTACTTGAGGCTCAGCTGGAATAATTTCTAGTCTTCAGCTACCAGTAGCTTGCAAAAGTCATGTGTAGCTAATTTCCTCTTGATTAAATGTTACCTAAATCTAGCAATCAACATACAAATCTAGTATTTGGAAACATGGATTTCTTGAAATCTTTGTCATTCAATCTTTTCTTTATTAACCCATAGTGTACAATCTACACTATAATTTATTCTAAAGTCAAAAGAGAAGTAAATCCACTTTTCAGAAAACACTGATGCTTTTGTAGACCCTCTCAAAATTGTCTTCCTAATATACTGTAAAATTCCTCTCGTTTTTTAAAGAAACTTGATTCCTTTTTGTTAATAGAAAAGGGCCGACCTGCTGTTAACCAGTCATATCGCTGCTTATGGCAGATACATCTTTAAGTCACTACCAAACATTAATTCACTTCCGTAAGTGCAGATAAAATGAACTTAAGTAGCATATGCTCAGAATGACTCAACTCATTCAAACAGATATGAATCGAGGAGATACTGGCATCAGTAAGACATCATTAAGATTTTTTTTTTTCACTACAAAATATCATGTAAGTTCTTCATACTACCCAAAACTACTATCCCACTACGTGGTTATCTAAAACACACAATTATTTGGAACAAATTATAGATATGGAGATCTCTGTATCTCTCTCTTTGAGAAAGACACAAACTCAAGAGAAACTTGTCATCAGAAAAAATACTATTAAATGCCTAATAACTGAAATAGCATCTTGTCTGACTTTTGCCAGCTGTAAGTCACAGTGGAATCCATTACCGTAGTTCTTTTCCTCTGTGTATCCTTTAGAAAGTGTGTAAGTGTAAGCAATTTTCTCCTTATTTCCAGCACTGCTTCTCACATGTTGCACTTGAAAATGGTAGTTTTCCACATTGGGATATAAAGCGTCTATATGACATAGTTCCAGGAAATGTGTAGCAAACAGTGTAAATGCCTAAATAAGGAAACAAGAAAGAAAATTTATTTTGGCAATGATCCAGAAACAAATTACAATAAATAAGAAAAATTAAATAATCTCACAGATGTTCACGTTTTCCTCCAAAACACTGAAAAGCTGTCTTTACTCTACTAAAGAAAATGAAAATCCTTAAGGGATGTGTTCTAACATTGGCAAGTACTTTTCCAACTGAGGATTCTTCTGCTCATTTCTCAATTGAAGGAAAACAATGTCAGAAACAAAGAGAATCCATAATGCTTACAAAATCTGACCGGTGCGGAGTGGAATGACTGTCAAATGGTTGCTTAATTCTCTCAAGGAATTCTTTATCAAAAGTACAAGTGACAGAAAGCATCTGAGCTTTTCAAACCAAAAAACCCTCAAAAGTACTCTGAATAAACTGAGGAGAAACAATCATCTGCACACTCAAAAGGTTCATAACAGCCACCTGAGGTTGATCACGTAACTAGCAACAGAGGTGAAACTTGGAATCC